ACATTGCTCAATTCACTAAACAAGGCTATTGTCTCAATTATTTAATCTCATTTATTATATGGCTGCATCTAACGTCTTGTTCGACTGCCTACGTACCTTAAACAGGGATCAAGCCATTCATAGTTCGCAATGATTAATTGTAGGTAACAGGCATAGATCACTTTAGAAGTGCTTGTGGAACTATCAATTATATGCCTATGAAAAAAAAGACCCACTCACCTGGAGTCCACTCTATGATTATCTTGCACGCACATCGAGATATCACGATCTATCGTCGCCTGTGACCAATTATCAAATCACGTCTCAAAATTCTTACCGATATAATACATAATTTACATAAAACATATCCTCAAGGACCTTCAAGAATAATTTGAGACCCATTGACCAAAAGTCAACCGTCAATCTTTGATCGACGGTAGGGTCTACAACCCTGTATAACTTGATTCAGAAAATCCGCATTTCAGATTTCCAATCCGTAACTTCCAAAGATCCACATTATGCTTCTAGAATAACATACTAAAATTTTATTACGATCCAACGGTTGGATCCTCGCCAATTCCCAAAACTGATTAACGGTTAACGTTTTATTTTATGAACTTACAAATCCAATCCGGAAAGATCTGTACGTCGGATTCCCATTCCATAAGTTCCTACATTCTTCAAATATTATGTACTACACTGTAACAAAGTTTGGTGACAATCCAACGGTTGGATCATCGATTCAAATAAATACCTTTTAACGTATCGTAGAGAATTTAGGTTCCAACGATCAACCTACGTCATTCAAATATCAAGACTAAATTCAAGACATCTAACATATCCCAAAAATAGCATTGGCGGTCCACTGGCCACGCGCCGCCGTGGGTGGTGGTTGGCCGCCCCAACTCGCCGGAAAATCCAACTCTTTCCAAAAATTACCAAAATTTACAAGAATGAAGATCTCAAAGAGATGAACAACTTTCATACCTGCCACAAAGTCCAAAAGTTGACGAAAGGGGGTCAATTTTTCCCACAAAGCCGGCGGGTGCATAAAACTTTCCGACGTCGATTCGTCGCCTACGGTGGTCTAACGGGTTCAAGGTTGGTTGGGATTTTCTCCATGATGGGATAAAAAGCCCAAGTGGTGGCATCAGCCATCGCTTTTCCGATTTGCTGGAAAATTGAAAAAGGTGGTCTGAGTACTATTGATTTTCGTCAACTTTCGTGGCCTCAAATCGCCACATACCGTGGTTAATCAAGGTGGTTCATGGGTGGGTTTTGTAGAGGGGAATGAGAGCTTCAAGATGGTGGTGGTTGTGTCGAAAATCTCCACCGGAGTTGGTCGGAATCGGCCTTGGAAAATGGGAGCTCGCGGTGGGTGTGGGTCGACGGGAAGGCTACTCCCCCTTCTTTTTTTCCTTGTTTTTTTTTTCTTCTTTTCTGATTTCTCATTGGTCCTCCATCCCTTTTTTATTTGATTGGTCCCTTTTTCTCTTTACTCAAGACTGATTAGTTAGTCTTCCCACAAGGTGGGAGTTCAAATAATTTAACTACCTTTAAATAACCAACTTCAAACGACCGTAATTATACCGTTATAATTCGGACTCGCAAATGGCTTTCACCTATGCATTCGTAGTGGCAAGTACTATGAGGATGTGCTAAAAACCGATGATCAACGGAAGTCAAAGTACTTGCCTCTAGGGCATTTTTGTAAATTCACGCTTCTAAAATTAATAAAATCGTAAAATTTGAGACGAGTTGTCACAATCAAGTAGTAGAAATGGAAACATCACAATTCAGCAAAAAGATGTTCACATGTTCCATAGACACAAACAAACCGTGCGCTGCTACTCTCTATTTATAGACGCTAAAAGTTTTTGTGCCTATATTTTGTCATACAATTGTCAGACCAATAATTATATATATATTTGTGCTACTTGGCATGGCTTTGTGCCCAATAATGTGTTTGTGTCCATTTTTTTTTTTTTACACTGGGCACAATACATCATATCCTTTATTGAATGGACACTATTCCACCATATTAGTGTTCTCAAAGACACAAACTCTTCATTTGTGTACACCAAAGCCCATATTTTTCGTAGTGTTTCAGCAACTTTTGGTAGGAACCTCACCAACCCAAAGTCACCTACATGTGCAATCATATCCTCATTGAGAAGAATATTGCTAGGTTTAAGGTTGCAATGAACTACTGGCGTCTCACAATGACTATGGAGATAATCCAATGCCATAGCAACATCAAAAACAATATTCAAACTCTGCGAAATTGTTAAGCTCCTTGGCCTCTCATCTGTCTCACCAATTGTATGAATTGGAGATAGCCATTCCTCCAAGCTCCCGTTAGCCATGAACTTGTAAATTAAGGCCTTGAAGTCGTGACTACGATAATCAAAACGAGAACATGCTGAGATTATCTTGACAAGATTATGGTGTCTAATATTTCGAAAAGCCTCGCACTCATAAATAAAACTTTTGTAAGCCCTGCTAAACGAACGTGGTTGAGTACCTTGATCGCAATTGTAGTTTAACCGTGCTCAAGTATTCCCTTATAAACGGACCCAAAACTGCCCATACCAACCAAGTTGGTTGAGGAGATTCCATTTGTTGCTCTTAGAAGACTTTGGTATGATACACATGGGGAAATTTGTCTAAATCACTTGAAGTGCGATTTTTTTTATCCCTCCGTGAGCAATAAAGGTACAAAAAGGTTAGTGCAAAAATAACTCCAAAAATCCCACAAATGAGAGAGAGAACCAATTTCATGGTTAAGCTCAATCCTTCCTTTTTTGGATGCTGGAGAGTTGCACTTTGGCAAATGAAACTCAGATATGCCCCCCGAAAGCTTGCTATTTCCTTCAAATCTCCCTTGATCGGCAACATGCCCTCAAAATTGTTATAAGATAGATTCTGAGATTCCAAAAAATTCAAACGTTCTAAGAATTCTGGAATTGCTCCTGACAAGTTGTCAGAAAGATACAATTCTGTAAGAACTCTTAGTGAACTCAAAGTTGATGGAATCGTCCCATGGAAGAAATTTCCATGCATGTCTAGGTACTCTAATTTTATACAACTAACAAGACTTGCCAGAATTTCACTGAATAACATGTTTTCATAGATATCTATATACTCAAGATTTAAAATTCCTACGTCCTTTGGTAGGGAGCCGAGAAAATGATCTTGAGGTAAACTAAATATATACAAGTTCAACAGACCAATGATTTCTTACGATATGATACCGCTAAAACTGTTCTCACCAAGATAGACAAGCCTCAAATTCTGACACACTATTAAACTTGGCAGGATATTGCCTGGAAGTTGTTGCCTTCTAAGCTTAACTCATTTAATCGACTAAAATTTCCGAAAGAGGATGTAAGATTGCCAGAGAGAGAGTTCCTACTCAAATTTAATAGATATAACTTGTGAAGTTTTCCTACACCCGGGGGAATGTGACCTGATAATTGGTTCTCAGCATCCCCAAAACCTTTAAGTTAGCCAAATTTACAATCTCATTCGGGATACTTATATTTTATTTTGTGCAATATGGAAATCATTTATTTATTTTTATTGCTTTTTAGCCAAAATGGTCTCTAAAATTTGCATAACTCCTCATTTTGGTCCCTGAGATTTCAAATCAATAGAAGTGGTCTCTGAGATTGTCCAACATCCATCATTTTGGTCCTTCCATTAAAAACTCTGTTAAGTGCTCCGAAGCTCTTGGCCGAAAGTTTGGGCAATTTTCAAAGCTTCGTAACTCAATTGTTTCTTAACCAAATTCGACACATAATATATCAAAATGAGGATAGGAAAGTGTAGTATAAGATTATACCTATTTGGAAGCCCAATGGTTGCCGGAGATGGTCGGAAAATAGCCTCAAAGTTGACTGGTTCGAGGGAAAACTGGAAAACTCGCCGGAAACTAGGTAAACTTTAAACGTTCATAACTTCTTCAATACTCAATGAAATCAAGTGATTCAAAAACGAAAATCATACTTCTCGATGAGACAAAGAGAACGGTACCTTTTTCAATGGCTAACTCTCCGTGGTTTGTCCAAAAAATGGCTCGAAAGTGTCTAACTCGAGACCAAGACAGCCACTTTCAAGCCGTTTTTCGGCCAAACCACAACTAACCGTTGAAAAAAATACCATTCTCTTCATCCCATCGAAAAGTATGATTTTCATTTTAAATCACTTGATTTTGTTGAGTATTGAAGAAGTTATGAAAGTTTAAAATTTACCAAGTTTCCGGCAAGTTTTTAAGTTTTCCCTCGTACCAGTCAACTTTAAAGCTATTTTCCGACCATCTCCGGCAACCATTGGGATTCAAAATGGGTATAATCTTATTCTACACTTTCCGATCTTCATTTTAATATATTATGGATTGAATTTGGTTAAGAAACGATTAAGTTATGAAGATTTGAAAATTACCCAAACTTCTAACCAAAAGCTCCGGGACACTTAATAAAGTTTTTAATGGAATGACCAAAATGATGGATGGTGGACAATCTCAAAGGCCACTTCCATTGATTTGAAGTCTCAGGGACCAAAGTGAGGAGTTATGCAAATCATAGGGATCATTTTCGCTAAAAAGCCTTTTTATTTTTTATTTCTGGACGGATGGAAATCATTTTTAGAAATTGGACGTGGAAAAACACAGAATTCACAATTTGACGAGTAACATGATGATACTAGAAATCAAGTAAACATAACAAAAGGCATGAATTATTCATGGAAATTGTGAAATCAGAAGAAATTTGTACATGTTACTTGAGTGTTTTGTAGTCATTGGAGTAGCGACAAATCACATCAAACCAACCATCCATAGCACTTACAATAAGTATATTGAAACTGTTTTGATCAGTCAAAACTTTAAAAAATTAATCAAAATTACCAATTATGATTAAGTTTATGGGACTCAATGGAATTCATGTTTAATTGCGGGACTAGATGCATCCATTTCATTCAAATCAAGAAATATAACACAATCAAATAACAAAATACCAGAATTCGAAGATAAAACCAGGGAATATAGAAAACTTCAAGTCTTGAAGAGATGGGAGCATCGCCTTGCTTTTTGCAACAAAACATTCAGAAAATTACAGGAAGACAAATAAAATTTGAAACAAATTACTTCAATTGAATAGGGAATCTGCAAATTGCTACCACTCCATAGCAGAAGGGACAATTCTGTTTCATTTCCCTGCAATAACAAGAAGTACAATTCTATAACAGTTCTCCCCACTAACCTAAAAGGCTAAACCCACTTCTTCAATTCCTTCTTATTTGTCAATCATAAACCAAGGGAACCTTATGACATTCAAACCTTAACTATCAATTATACCAAGTATATCAGAAATACATAAATAATGAAATTCCACTAACGAACTAAACAAATGGCCCTTCAGTACATCCTCACAGAATCACAACTTACCTTCCATATTGGACACAATGCAATAAGCAAGAATTGCAATGTTCAGAGACTTTTTCGGATCAAGCACACACCTAATTCATAAAATTTCCCATAAAATTTGACAAAATGCAATAAACAATAATTAAATATCACCACTTACCGTCCAAAGGCGCTTCATCAATGGTAACATTAGGCCCCCTCAACAAATTCCAAATTCTGCACACCAAATCAATCAGATCCAACAAGTAATAATATAATAAAAAGGCATACAGATATCCAAAATGTTGAAATTACAATAAAAAATCAAATCATGCTTTAAAGAAATGCAACATATTCATGAAAAACTTGAAATTTTGAGAACAATTCTCTTCATTCATTAGAATCTAAGTAAAGAGATTGAAGCCAAAATTTGAAACAAAAACCATAATCGAATTAACTAAATTATATCACTTGAAAAGGATAATAACTAAGAAATAAAACGGATTGAGAAGCAAAGTGATGGGGTAGCGTTTGGAGGGTGAGGCTGCAGAGCAACTGATCTTACCCACTCTGCTTTCATCGACCGCTAAACAGAGAAAAAGGAGACAAAAATTAAAAATAAAAAAAATTCTCGTATAAATAAATTTGTAAAAGTGGGAAAATTGGCGGTGATTACAATTTGTAAAAGAAGCAACTAATCCTACCCACTCTGCTTCATCGATGGATAGCTCACTTGGTTTGCTAAAAATATTGTATAAATAAATATTGGGATGTGGTGGGGGCTCAGGCCGGGATGTGACATTCCCCTTTTTACAGGAAGAACTCGTCTGCAAACCGGTGGTGACTGATGATAGAAGCATACCATGGTAAATACATTGAGAAAAATAGTTTGACCAAAATTTTCTTGCAAAGTAGTATTAGTATACCAACCACTGTCATCTCGGCCTTTTTTTGGACCCAATAGACAATTATTATTTTATATTTCTGGACGGATGAAAATCATTTTTAGAAACTGGATGTGGAAAAACACAGAATTCACAATTTTACAAGTAACATGATGATACTAGAAATCAAGTAAACATAACAAAAGGCATGAAATATTCATGGAAATTGTGAAATCAAAAGAAATTTGTACATGTTACTTGAGTGTTTTGTAGTCATTGGAGTAGCGATAAACCACATCAAACCAACTATCCATAGCACTTACAATAAGTATATTGAAATTGTTCTGATCAGTCAAGACTTTAAAAAATTAATCAAAATTACCAATTATGATTAAGTTTACGGGACTCCATGAAATTCATGTTTAATTGCAGGACTAGATGCATCAATTTCATTCAAATCCAGAAATACAACGCAATCAAATAACAAAATACCTGAATTCCAAGATAAAGCCGGGGAATGTAGAAATCTTCAAGTCTTGAAGAGATGGGAGCATAGCCCTGCTTTTTGCAACAAAACAATCCTTTTTCAGAAAATTACAGGAAGACAAATAAAATTTCAAAAAAATTACTTCAATTGAATAGGGAATCAGCAAATTGCTACGACTCGATAATTTTGCAAAAGGTACAATTCTGTTTTATTTCCCTGCAATAATAAGTACAATTCTGTAACAGTTCTCCACAATAACCTAAACCCACTTCTTCAATTCCTTCTTATTTGTCAATCCTAAACCAAGGGAACCTTATGACATTTAAACCTTAATTATCAAAGTATATCGGAAATACATAAACAACGAAATTTCACTAACGAACTACACAAATGGCCCTTCAATACATCCTTACAGAATCACAACTTACCTTCCAAATTGGACACAATGCAATAAGCAAGAATTGCAAAGTTCTGAGACTTTTTCGGATCAAGCACACACCTAATTCAGAATTTTTCCCATAAAATTGGACAAAATGCAATAAGCAATAATTAAATATCACTACTTTCCTTCCAAAAGCGCAGACTTCATCAATGGTAACATTAGGCTCCCTCAACAAATTCCAAATTCTACACACCAAATCAATCAGATCCAACAAGCAATAATATAATAAAAAGGCATACAGAGATCCAAAATGTTGAAATTACAATTAAAAAAATCAAATCATGCTTTAAAGAAATGCAACATATTCATGAAAAACTTGAAATTTTGAGAACGATTCTCTTCATTCATTAGAATCAAAGTAAAGAGATTGAAGCCAAAATTTGAAACAAAGACCATAATCGAATTCAATTATATCACTTGAAAAGGATAATCACTAAGAAAAAAAACGGATTGAGAAGGACAATCATGACCTACCCCCAACTGCTCCGAGAAGAATTACGTCGATTGCTTAGCTGACAAAAGAGTCTCATCAGGTAATGGCACTCCAGTCAAATCCAAGCCAGCTCCACCAATAGGTACTTCTTCATACTTAAAATCAATCTCTAGTTTATGTAAACATATTCAGTTATACAAATATCCAAATGTTATATAATTACTAATTTCCCAACAAAATTTCTCGATTATACAACACACAGAGCAGCTCAAATTGTTAAACATTAACCCAAAGAAAATATGGGAAAATTAAAAGACTTTTCCTTTTAATTTTCCCACCGTTTCTCAGGCACCTGAAATAAAATTCAGAAAACGGAAGCAGAATTAAAAGAAACCATCGATGGAGGGGGCGAGGTTGAGGCCAATGCCATCGCCAAGAAGCAAAGTGATGGGGTAGCAGAGCAACTGATCTTACCCACTCTGCTTTCATCGACCGCTAAACAGAGAAAAAGGAGACAAAAATATAAAATAAATAAAATAAATTCTCGTATAAATAAATTTGTAAAAGTGGGAAAATTGGCGGTGATTACAATTTGTAAAAGAAGCAACTAATCCTACCCACTCTGCTTCATCGATGGATAGCTCACTTGGTTTGCTAAAAATGTTGTATAAATAAATTTGAAACCCCTCATACCTTAAATTGGAATTTCGAAACTGAAAGACGAAGGCAAGACGACGACACGGTACGGTTTGCTGGTTTGAGGGTTTTAGGTTTCGAATATTTTTCTGTTAATTGCGAGCAACAGAGCTAATGGGACGATGTTTTGCCAGATGAGGCGAAGAGGCGGAGCGGAAGATTCACTCACTCCAATCCTCCAAGAACCCATAATTTTTTCAATCCTTGGAACCCTAGAAAAATCACCAGAAGATTAATTTCTTTGGTAAAGAATTTTTAAAAATCTAAAGTAGGATAAATTACTTACCTTCCGTATAGAGGGTTATGGAAAATGCGAGGATGGAGTGGTGGTACGTCGCGGTTCTCGCGTGTTACATTGAATTTGGGTGAACAGGTGGAAAAGCAATTTACAGAGTTGGCGGTGGTTTTGTTTGATTGAAGAATCTCGTTGAAAGATGAGGAAGGCTATCGAAAATGGAGAACTGGAGCAGGAAGGAAGAGGTGCAGGAGATTGGGATGAGTCGATTCGTTCGATGGTGTGAAAACAGTTGATGTCGAATTCCATAAACCACCGAGAAAAGCATGAACGACAGCTCACAACACAGATACACATGTTAACATGGGAAATTTCGTAATTTTACCGTGCATATGGAAAACCCTAAACAATAATATGGGCGCAATTCCGTCTTTACACCGTGCTTAGGAACATTAAACCTGTTGCTGCTGCAATATTTCTATTTTGCAAATATTTGAGAAGAAGTTGATTGGTGTTAGTGTCGTGCCACTTTTACTTAAAAGTTGAAAAGAGTTTGAGTGGCAAAGCGTAGAGATAAAATTGTCTACTAGTTGATGAGTTTTGTAAGTCTTTTAGGATGTGTTTATTGTACCGGACTATCTCGGACTGACCTAGCTTTGGGGACTAAGTTTGACTGATTTAGATTAGATTAAGTCAGACTAAGTTAGTGAACTGTTTGGTGCAGTGTCAGACTAAAAAATAGAATAATTAATAAATTATAATATTATAATATTATAATATTTAATATATGTCTAATAATATTAAATTATGAGTTCAAGCTTTTCCTTCTATACACTCTTCTCCAGTTCTACGTCTCTCTAGAATACTTTCTTCCTCTTTGGTTTCATCGCCATTATCTCCTTTCCTCCCATCTTTTTTCCTTCAAAATGCTTCAAAGTTCAATTCCATTTTTTTCTGCAAAACACTTCAAAACCATATTCCTGCAAAATCATCTCCAAAGCTACTCTCTCTCCTCCCTCTCTATCTCTCCATCTCTTTTTATCCTCAAAGCTACTCTCTCCCCTTCTCTATCCATTTTTCTCCGAAATTTTTTGGGAAAAAGAAAAATTATCTAGGAGATTTCTAGGAAGTTTCAGGAATAAGGAAGAATTTTTCTATTGAGATTGTTATTGTTATTGTGTTGCTTTTTCTTTTCAAATTTTGGTGGCTGGATTTTGAGATTTAAGTTGTGGGTCGGATTGAGTTTTAGATTCGGGCATGGGTGGGCAAACAGAGTTGCCCAGAAGCATGCTTGCAGACTTGCAATGCAAACATCGTATGCAGTTCTGGAAACGGGACTAGAAATCCCATGGTTTTTGAGGGGGTTCACTATGACCGGCTAATCCCATGGTTAATCGAGACGAGTGAAGGTTAATGTCATTAACGTTAGTCTCAGTGGGTAACAAATAGGGGACCGGACTAACATTTAGTCCAGTCCAATCCAATGAGAGTTAGCGAGGGCAAACAAATGCGCCCTCAGTGTTTATCCTGACTTAGTACACTCCATTTGTTTATTTAAATGCATATATCTAGGATATTTTCATAAGATGTCGATGTGTAATTAAAGTTAAATAAAATTAAATGTATAATCTAAGGATTTATACGACAAATTTTTCATATAGGAATTAAAGTTATACATATGTAATTCTAAGGATTTATCTATATGAGCTATTAATCACTTGAACATATACCAGATTCAGTCAGCATGTATAATCTTAAAAGTATTATTCCTAATTTCTTAATTGTTGAAAAATAAGGCCTTGTTTGGTCTCTAGGATTGGAATGGAATGGTTAAACTACTGTATTCATGGTATATTAAAGATAGAGGTGAATGCTTTTTCATATTCAGGGGATTAGAAGGGGGATAAGACATGATGGAAAATAACCCCTTCTGATCCTTACCATTTTGGCAAATTGGAATGGAAAATAATCCATCTCCTACCTTCAAGTAACCCACAAATTTTTCATTTCATTCGTCAACATTCCTTGAATATAGTGGGTTGTCCATTTCAATCCAATCTTAGAGACCAAATGGGGCCACAATTTTTTCATTTCTTTCCTGAACATACCTTGGATATAGGTCATATATATCAACATGCTTCAAATGTCTTAATTTACAACTTTCTTATGTTTACCACTTTTAAATATAGGTTACATGGCTTGATAACATTGCACATATGCACTGCACCGAACATAGATAAAAGTAGAAAGTTTCATGTCTGCACATGTGCTCCCTAAGCTGTTTTAGTGAAAAATTGCATGTCTGTACCTTTATTTCCTTCATTTATCTTCCTGGTTAAATTATGAGCCATGTATTAAATTTTCTCAACCTTTAAGATGTTTGCGGCTTCCTTACCATGATATTACACTTGGGGCTGCATGGCCTGAACTGTTCGTTGACCAAGGAAAATACTGGGATTTGCCGAGTCAATTTCCTTAGATATGTCATCACTTGTTTCCGAATCTGGATTGCGGTACCGCATTGGTGTACATAAAAACATCCAGGCAGTTAATTCCGTAGATTCTGCGCAAAGGCTGCCTTTTCTTATGGAAAAAGCCAAGGCAAAATGAGACACGAAAAGACATCATGATACATAAAGAAAAGGGTTGGTTTTGGCGGCCATCTTATGATGTGCGTCTTAAAAAACCCCATTCTTCAGTATCTAAAATTTTTGGTAATTTTACACGTTATTCATAATTTTTGGATAACTTGTATTATCTCATTACATTTTTGTTGGAAGTTTCATACCAATACTCAGGTGCAATATTGTATAACTTTTAGCTTATACATTTGCCTGTTTTTATACATGTATACATGTTTTGGTACCTCTTAGTGTCACTTATACTGTATGTGTAGTTTTCTACTTTAGTATTAAACCCAGTACATGTAATGAGTATGTCACCCCCTTTCATCTGTTCCGTGGTTGTAGATGTGCCTGCAGTAAAAGAAACATCATAGATAATAGTAATAAAATATAATTCTAGAGACTAAAGTTCTAACGGAACGATTCAATATTTTTGTTTTGTGTTTATGAGTCCAGGTCTGTTGCCGACAGTATGCAATCTCTTAGAGCACTTTCAGCGTTGGCTTTTGCTGGGGAACAGGCCAGCAAACAGGGCACGAAAGCTCAGCCTATTGACTCCAATGTGTGGGAGTCCGAGGGACAGCGTAGGGCCCGAGCACCAGGCCTGTCACGAATTGCCAGCCCGCAAGCCCGAAGGCTATCTGACGCAAGGCTGACGTCAGCCAGGCGTCAAACCCTTTTTTTATTTTTTTTCTGTCAGGCGCGTGCACTGCACCCGTGTGTGGGGGCACGTCACCTGACATGTTTTCAACGGATGGGGCCCGCGGTGCAGTTTCAAATTGTTACCGTTGGGAAGCCACGTGGCTTCTCATGGTTCGTTGGATCTCAACGGCAAGAAAATGTGGACCGTCAGATTTGCAATGGTAAAAAAACATAAAAAAATCTTATTTAATATCAACCGTTGGATCTGAGATCAATGGTTGATATTATTCTCCTTTATAAATATAAAAAAAAAAGGTTTTAAAATTCAGAAATGTTACCGTTGTGCCGCATGGCACAATCTGGAGTGTTGGAATTCAATTTTTTTTAAAATCCAATGGCAGAGATTAATTAGTTGAATAAAAAAATTTTAAAAATTGTAAATACCTTTTCATTATCATCTACCTTACACCACAGCTTCTATCAAGGTTTACAGAATGGCTGGGCTAGCATATCTGACCCACAGCTTGGATGACTCCACGGGAATGTGAGGCTTTGCCCATTCTTGCTTTGTCATCTCTCCTTTTACGCTCCTCATCCTATTCTCTCTCATTTTGGGCCACCTGGAGATTGAATATTCCTTCTGATTGGTTAAACAATTCTTCCTCTTACTGATCAATTTCCCACATCATCCTTGAAAAATAAGACATTGTAAAAATGAATCAGAAACTATGAATAATGATAGAGATATTGTTGACCGGTGCTTAGTAGTTTTGGGATTGGTCAAGTATGGTACAAACAGTGCTCCCCTAACTTCCCAAGTGAGGGAAGCTCCTCGATTGGGGACTTGCAAGATCGAAGCCATTGAGTAATCACGAAACTTCCAAGTACCGAAGTGTGGTGTCGCCTTCACTTGCCTTCTCTGTCCTGTAAGTAGATGTGGCATCTTCTCTTGGAAGTACTTTTCCTTCATCCAAGAGTGGTATCTTTAGTTGGCGTTGACGCACAAGGTAATGTATCATTTTCATTTGAAGCTTACTTGTAGTTTCGGGTTTGGTCAAGTGCGATACAAACCATATAGTAGGAGTCCCCCAAGTCTCTAAGCGAGGAGATCTGCCGAAGGAGGTGACAGACAAGGTAAGCAATCAGGGTTCCAAGCAATCAGTCTCAGATCGGTAGGTTGATCTTGGGTTCCGGCTGATTGTACTCATTCTCCCTGTCTCTCATTCAGCAACAAAGATAAAGAGAAGAAACGGGGAGAAGAGATGATATGAGGTACTCTTGTTTTTGGATAAGACGGACGAATCGGCATGTGCTTTGTTGTACTTGACTTTCCATAGGTGTATTCTTGAACTAGGCTGGAGGGTTTTCTGGTTTCCTCCAAAGGAGCGAGCCGACTCCAGGATTTGAGGGTCAAAACAAGTCCATCAAACCTGGAGTATGTTCGAACCTGATGATATGAGATACTTTTGTTGTTTGACAAAATAGTAGATGTGGTATGGCGAAGCTTTGTTCTTCGACAACGGTGTTAGCAAAAAGTTGTTGAGGCTTCTCGATCTCTTCAATTAGAGCAATGATGCCGAGCTTGGGTTTTTTATTTTGTTGAAGTTTGCATGTTGAAACTTCATGGGTGGATGTTGTAGGTTGAAGTAGTGCTCCCTTAATTTCTTGAGTGAGGAAAACTTCTCGGTTGGGGACTTGAAAAATCCAAGGCACTGAGTAGTCGCGAAATTTCTGAGTACCAAGATGTAGTGGTATATGGTAAGAGTCCCCCAAGTCTCCAGTCGAGGGAGGTGTCTTGCTAGTAAGCAATTTTCCAAACAAAACTTCACCATTTTCTTTTCTAAGTGGTTGCCCAAAACTCCTCCTTCATATATATTTGGTATGAAAGTTGTTAGGCCCAAAGAAATGGAGGCCTAGGCTCATTTCTTTCTTTCTTTCTTTCCTTTTTTTTTTTGTATTTTTTTTTTTTTTAATTTTCGATTTTTTTTTTTTTGGGTGAAGCTTTGATGTTGAAGTTTTGGTGTTGAAGCTTTTGTGTTGAAACTTTGGTGTTGAAGCTTTTGTGTTGAAGTTTTGCAGGTGAAGCTTTTGTATTGAAGCCTTGTAGGTGAAGCTCTTGTATTGAAGCTTTGTAGGTGAAGCTTTTGTGTTGAAGCTTTGTTGGGCACCATAAATTGATTTTGCTTCACACTATCT